GTTATATATATATATATTATATCTGAATGTACTGTAGTGTATCTTCTACAAATTTAGTCAAGATTTTAGTAAACATTGCAAGTATGTTGTATACAAAAAATCTGAATTTTTAATGAAATATTTTTACTAAAGATTTGCCTCTGAATTTATGAAGCCTTTACTGAGTCTGAATGAAATGTGATTTTCATGTTAAGAATATAAGTACTTCTTTTCATCATATAGTTTTTATATTTCATTTGTATTCTAGAACTTTATATATGAATATCAAAAGTTTTTTCATTAAAACTTTATACTTTATCTCATTTTCTCTACTCCAAGTGTAGTGAAATCATCAGTGTACTGTGAAGAAAAGAAGGAAATATGAAGTAAAATCAAAAGTACAGATTGTAGTGAACAGTTGTAATTATTTATCCAAAGAGCTTTAGGCCTCTAAACCTTTTCATAAATGCTTTCATTAAATTTTATTGTTGCACTATTCTTTTAACCCTGTGTAATGAGAGCTTAGGGTAAACTAACTATCAGGTTTCATCATGAGATGGCATCCTGTGTGCACTCTTTCAATAGAGATCACTGGAAGTATTTGTATTATTTTTATTTTTTTTCATCTTAAGCTTTCTTACCTAACCTATTAAGTTTCTAATTTTTACATGTTAGCTACTTTTTAAAAAAATATAACAATAAATAAAAAATCAAGAAGTTTAACTTATGTTAGCTTTGATGTTTTTTGCACTCAGCCAATTTTTTTTCTTATTATGACGGTATCCAAAATTAATTAAAGTAGCCTTCAAATGTATATTTTAGAATACAAAAATATATTAGACACTAGTATAAAATATCCCAAAACTACTCTAATTTACCTGACTTTCTAACTAAACTATTAATAACCTAAACAATTCCATTACTGCTCGATTCAACATCTTTAGTCTAAACCCATCAAGCTGTCAATGTGTACTATTGGCTTAAACCTCTAAGATAAAAAACAGCCATCTGATTTATATAGCTTAGAATATGCTTTTTCTTTGGTTATAAACATGCCCAATCAGAGAGAATTACTGACCTCTATTAAGAGGCTGAAATGTTATATTTTGGCTTGTTAATATCTCTGGGATGTGTTTCTAACTGGTTGAATGATATGAAACCCTTATAAGGGAAGAGAAAAAAATCTATAAAGGAGAATTCAGAGTTATACCACATCTATTTAAATTTTTCTTTTGAAATTAAAAATTAAGTCTTGAATAATATAAGAATTTGAATTATAAACATACATTGATATTAAAGTAGTTAAATTACATTTTGAATGTAATTTTGTTGAAATGTTGTGACATATACACTCTGTCCATAGGGTTAAAGTAATAAAAACAATCAACTAATCAAAATTAGTGTTTCCAATAAGTATTGTTTTTGATTATTCCAACTATTCAAGTAATTAAAATATTACCATTGTGATTTTTCATTATTTCTTTTGATTAGTTCAAGGTGGTTCAGCTTAATTGATTAGTGCTATGATTCATGAAAGTAATCAGCTAATTGAAGTTTGTGTATCTGATTGTTACTATTTTTGATTATTCCACCTATACAGTCTGTTATTTGGTGTGGATGTGTGTGATTGTATGCATGTGTTCTGCTTGTACATAACTCATGAATGTGAGGGTATGGTATATATGTATATATATATATACTGTCATGATATAAAAGACTTTTTGTTTTAAATATTAGTGATTAGTTTATATTTGTGAGTGAATACTTTATTATTTTTATGTTTTGTTATAATAAGAGTTAAAAGCAGATGATTGTAGAAGGTTTTGTT